TCATTAAAAAATAATAATTATAAAAAAAATCAACGAAACGTGTTAAAATTAATAATCTGAGTAATTATTGTTTGAACAAGGTGTTGCGCAATTCAGTGCGTTTCGGTCCCATTAACAGAAAAAAAGAAAAAAAAGGCGACTCAGACCGACTGGGAGCAGAGCAGGAGTTTAAATGAGCTGCTCAACCACCGCTGTGTTCATGAGAGGCTTATTAATAATCGAGAAATAAATATCAAGCCTGGAAACATGATATTGTAACGGACTGAATGTTGTGTTTTTAACATAATCTTTGCTCGGCAGGCGGTTGCCACGGCAACGGGTGTGCTAAACTACAAAGAGACAGAAAGTAAAAAGGTAGGAGTGGTTTTGAGTTGATCACCTGTTCGGATTGTTTTACCTTTGTTTACCTTTGCTGTGGCTCATCACATCTGCTGTAGTTTCTGAACGTTCAATAAACGACAAACTTGGACTAATTACCTTGTTTGTTTGTGAGTATACGTCACAACAAACATCAAAGGACAAATATATTTCATTAAGTTTTAACAAATTCTACCGCAATAATTATGTGAAATTAAATTAATTATATCCCGACTTCAGAAGATTTGCCTTTACCTTTTCTGGGCTCTTTGGTTCCTCCTATCAGTCTGTAGTTTCTCATACTGAGGTCATCAAACCAAAGTTCAGATCTACCATGACTGACTGACACCTGCTGGCATCAGGTTTGCAACCAGCTTCTGACTGAGAAACCAGTGACCTCCTCCCAGTGTCAGAATCTCACTGAGGAAGAAACTGCGTTAGGTTTTCTGTTACTTTATTATTTCTGCTATAACTGATGCATATTCGCATATAAAATAAGTCAATAGAGTTTAATTTGCAATTTTTATGTCTTTGTGTCATGAGGTAGATCTCAGGCGGCTGGTGAGAGAAAAAGTAGATCTTGCTCTCAAAAAGTTTGGGCTCTACATTGTAGCTTACTTTAGCATTGAGGCTAATTTTTAGCATCAGAATGTTGGGTTCCAACCGACAGGCACACTTTGGCAGGCCCTGGTTAAATTTCTTCAGAAATTTTGTAGTTATAACGAACTGTTCTTGATATTGCCTAATGTTTTGTGAAACAAGTGTAGTCTATAGAACAAAGACAGAAATATTTACAGAAAGAGATGTTTAAATCATTGCAAAGGCAGAAATGAGAAAAAAAACCAACACGATTTATCTTAAACTCCTAAGAACTGGCTTTAACTCTTTTGAGTTAAAGGAATTCTGTTACAAAGCAGAAACACCTGCTTTAAAAGCAGCCTTAAAATGTCCCTTTCTGTGAGCACCGTATGTGTCAAATGATATTGTTCGGACAGGTTCAGATCTGATATCACTTGCTTTGTTAAATTTCCTGTTCCCAAGTTCTCTGATGGGGCCCAGATAACGAGTCAGATTTCTAAGTTTTAAAATGTTATCAGAAAGGTAGAAAATTTGCAAATTATTTTCCTTACACTTTACAGTTATGCAGCACTTTGTGTTGATCTGTAGTAATCATCTTTATTGTAAAATATCTTGGAATTTCTGGCAGCAGCATTGCAAATGCTAGAAATAGTTATGGGATGTGAGCACTTCTGCACATCATGGTGCTTGTTAGAGAGCCCTAAATATTGTATGTTCATGTTATTTCCGTCAGTTACTCAACATATACTGTTACAGAAACTCACAGTTTCAGAGTTGGGGTCACATTGTATTTGGGAAATGTGTGATAGTTGTGCACATAAGGAAAAAAAAGTAGTTTACTGCAAGGTGAAACACTAGTTAAAATCAAACCTACTTGAAGATACTCAGACAAAGTGTATAAATACATGTATTAAAAAATCCCTTCTCACCCTTCCGCAGGTGGACTCTTTCATCCTCTGAGCTCGGGTCCTCTACCAGAAGCCTGGGAGCCGCAGTATCTTGGCTGTGCCTAGAACTGTACATTTCTGGACTGAGATGACTGATGCTGTTCCTGGGATCCTGTTTTAGCCACTGCTCCATTTTGGGGGTGACTGCCCCGAGGGCCCCTGCGCTCCTCGGCCCTTTAGGCGCAGGGTGAATCCTAGCAACCTGCGGCCTCTTTGCCAGGAGTACCGGATGCCAGCTGATGGTGTAGACCCGCCGATTTCTGCCAGGATCGGTTTGGTAAATGCCAGGTCGCTGACAAATAAAACTTTGGTCATTAGGGATTTCTTTTCCTCTCATTGATTGGATGTTTTATTTATAACAGAATCATGGACAAGTGGTTTGGGTGACTCCAGCATTTTTAATGAACTTGAACCGCAGAACTGTGGCTATTTTGATGCTGCGAGGATGTCAGGGTCCAGTGGAGGAATAGTGACTGTTTTTAAAAGTTGTTTTACTTGTAAGCAGTTAAACAACTACTATGGGATTAGCTTTGAGATTAGCCTATTTGAACTTGGCAGCTCTCACACTGTGCTGTGTGCAGCGGTCTATCGGCCACTAAAGTACAAAAAAAAAACCTTTATAAATGACTTTTCTGATTTCTTGGCTGATAATTGTTGGTGATTTTAATATTTATGTCTGTTGTCCTACTTTACCTATGGCTCAGTCATTTCTTAATGCTATTAATTCTTTTAATTTTGTGCAGTCTGTGACTGGTGCTACCCATGATCATGGTCACCGTCTTAATCTGGTTTTATCTTATGGTCTACCAGTTTGTAATTTAGTGATTGGTGACTCATTATTTTCAGACCTTATGGCTGTTTTATTTGAGATAACGCTGTCCTCTGCTAAAGCTAAAACACGCGCTGCAGCTCGGTTCTGTCGTGATCTTAACCCTTCTACTGCTGGTCAGTTTTCTTCTGCTTTTAATCAATTTATTGGTGTATAAAGTGCTTCATAAATAAAGTTGGTATGGTATGGTATGGTATGGTATGGTATGGTATGGTATGGTATGGTACTGTGGTCTTCACCTTCCAGACCTTCTCCAGTTCCTCTCTGAGGCCCTGGTATTTCTCCAGTTTCTCGTGCTCCTTTTTCCTGATGTTGTGGTCACTTGGTATTGCTACATCCCCCACACCGGCTTTCCTCTGTTCTTTATCCACCACCACAATGTCCGGTTGGTTTCCCATTACCATCTTGTCTGTCTGGATCTGGAAGTCCCACAGGATCTTGGCTCGGTCATTCTCCACCACCTTTGGGGGTGTTCCCCACTTTGATCCAGTCCATATTCTGCACAGATGTTCCTGCACACTATGCCCGCCACTTGGTTATGTCGTTCCATGTACTCTTTCCCTGCCAGCATCTTGCATCCTGCTGTTATGTGCTGGACTGTCTCAGGGGCCTCCTTGCGCAATCTACCCCTTGGGTCTTGTTTGGTGTGGTAGATCTGAGCCTCTATTACTCTGGTGTTTAGGGCCTGTTCCTGTGCAGCTAGGATGAGGGCCTCTGTGCTGTCCTTGAGTCCAGCTTTGTAAAGAGGCGCCTTTATTTCCAATAAAGGTCTTTAGGATTCTCTAAAAGTTTGGTTCCCTCAATTTAGAAAACCAAAACTCAAGGAATCACCTGCCTTATTGACCTTCCTTGTGGCTCGTGTTCAGTCAGGGTGCTGGATTTGGGGTGGAACCCTCCATGGATGGTTAATAGTTTCCAAGTCTTAACATCTGTGGCGTTTATCTCCTCCATTAGCCAGCTAGTTATTCCTGCAGGGTCTCTGATTACTGGCAAGGCGTAGCTGTTTATCGCACAGATCTTCTTGTTCTTGCCATTGAGCTGGTTTCTCAGGACTTGCCTTATTCGTTGGAGGTATTTGGCTGTGGCTCCTTTCCTTGTGACCTCGTCAAGGTTGCCATTTGCTTGTGGTATTCCCAGGTACTTGCACCTGTGCTCTATGTCTGCTGTTGTTCCTTCTGGGAGTGAGACCCCTTCTGTGTGGATGACCTTCCCTCTCCTTGTAACCATCCAACCACACTTCTCTAGTCCGAATGACATCCCAATGTCAGTGCTGTAGATCCTGGCAGTGTGTATTAGTGAGTCGATGTCTCGCTCGCTCTTGGCGTACAGCTTGATGTCATCCATGTAGAGGAGGGTTAGGGTAACATGAATGGTGGCCCCGTTCTTGAGTCGGTATCCGTAGCCAGTCTTGTTGATGGTTTGGCTGAGGGTGTTCAGATGCAGAACAGCAGTGGACACTTGTGCAAGTGGTTTGCAGTTTGCAGTATATATTATCCTCCTGACTACCAGTAGTTAATTTTTGTCCTCTGTAGAGGACATATCTAAACTTGAATATCTCCCACCCCCTGCATTCTTCTGAATTAATTCCTTTTGGTATCTAGAGAGGACACTTAGGGCTTTTCAATGATACCACATGTGAGGGGTGGGACTTTTACGTACCTTTTTCTAATTCATAAAAATGGTGTTCATCAGTAATACATTTTATGGGAAGAGACAAAGTAAGTGCATAAGTATGCTAATTACCTTACAAAGAATGTGGAATTTAAAAAAAACAGGTGATTGGACAATTTTTTTTTCCTCGTAGTCAGGAGGATATTTAAAAAAAAAAAAAAAAAAAAAAAAAACCCCCCCTAAAAACCCTTT